GTGGAACACGCTGCGCCAACGCTATCCCGGGCAGCTGCATATCAAACCATTAGACGGCTAGTCAGCAAGAACAGATATGGCAAACGGAAAGTCTCTGACGCGATTGCCAAGCAGTTTGTCGGGGGAGGGAAAGGCCAGGCAGACCTCATCGATCTCTACATAGCAAATGGGGGTGACAAGGATTCTTGAAAGCACCCTTATTACGCAAAATATGTATATTTAGTTGGTGTGCGCCTAATCGAATGCCAAGGACAAGTTCAAGCGCAAAGCTGAGCTGAAGCTCACCCGGAGCAAAAGTGGCAAACAGCATGTCAGACATAAGTTTTGCACCGAGCAACAAATGAGGGATGAGTTGAAGTGGGATGAGTGCCTTTGTTTGGACATATAGTGGCAACGTCTTTGAACTATGCTGGTAAATTGCCGGTAATTATATTCTTCTGTTCTGACACCCAACCCTGTCTTGACCCAAGTTGCAACTTCCTTCAGGCCCCGCATCAAAGCCGTGAAGAAGTGGTGCACCACAAAGGGAAGACGACGCAAGTACACCAGGACGATGTACACATCATATTTTTCACACGCAGTATAAACATACGTTTGAGTGGGTGTTCCATCGGCGCAGGCGGGACAAGTATGAGCATCAAAAGATCAAGTACTATTGCGAGATCGAAGAGGGGGGCAGCTTTGAAAAGAATGTCACCCGTGAAAACACTCGTAGTTTAACGATGAATGACCTGGATGGTGAAGCTTTCGATGACAATGATGACTTCGGAGGTGTAAGTGATGATGACTTTTTGTCTGCAAGTTGTGATGAAGAGAGTATTGATGGATCCAGTGATGCCGCCAGTGATGATGGTGATGATAGCGACGATGCGCCCGCTGGTGCTTCGCCTGCCCCGCCTTCCAAAAAGCGGGCTGGCCATGGACCATCAGCGCCTGGCAAGAGGAACAAGGGTTCTGAAGGTGAGGGGAAACGCTCTAGACGGGGCGAGCTGGAGGAAGAGTTGCCTTTGGAGGACCTGTCAGTGTCATACACATATGTTGCCCCTACACATCATTTTCCCATGCAACAAGCCTAAATTTGAGAAACATATGAAACATCTTGTTTCAGGAAATCGAGAATGTTGATGCGACCCTGGACCAAATCCTTACTCAAGCTTCTAAGATCACTTGTGTGTTGAAGCAGCTCCGCGAGAAAGGTTGCAAAACGTGCCTAGGCAAGCGTCTATATATGAATCCCCCCAAAAATAAACGGTGTAAGTAAAGTGGTTCTTGTTGAACCCGCCTTTTTGCTGTGATCCAGTCGTTGCCTCACCCTGGGATTTGTTTGCCACAACATCATGTCAAAGATTTCCCATTTTCACCCGCAAACCCGGAAAGTATTTTGCAAAGGTGGCTGCAACAATAAACCCAAGGCAAGCAGATTCCCTCCAGAGCCGGCATGATTCCCTCCTGAAGCTGCACGACGAGATCGCAGATATCAAGGCAACCTTTGTGGCTGACAAGACTCTGACAGCGGAGAACCATAGCCTATTTACAGCGTGTCAATATTCATGTGCATACACATGCCACACGTATGTCAGAGAATCGGAATTCACAAATTGTGTTGTGACTGGTGGGCCCCAGGAACCTCAACTGTCTCCAAAGCAAGTTCCGGCTTGTTGAGAAAGAGTCTGCGACCTAATGATGTGTTTGACAAAGCATGCTTGCTGCATTCCGGTTGTGGCCACCCAACATTCAAACCTGTAAGGTGCTCGCAAGCTTTGATGGAACAGAACAAGCTAAAGAAGCTTCATGGTGTCAATCGTTGATTGCAACTCTGTTCATTACACAGTTGATGTGGGGTTGGCACCAAGACTGATCCATGCAATTTTGTTTAGTCAGAGGCAGCATATATGCCAGATTAGCTTCGATGCTGACTTAGGACGGTGTTGAAAGGGGGTGCGAAGAGAAAATCTCGTCCAAAAAGGGACACCAAGCCATCCGCTGGCGATGAGAGTGATGCTGCCACAGAGCCTGACCCACAGCCCAAGTCCCGTGGAAAGGCTAAGGCTAAGCCGAAGCCAAAAGCTAAGGGCGGGGCGGCGGCCAAGTGAAAGGTGGCCCATGGGAATTTCCAATATCAGTTCATGATGTTTGCAATTACTGCTGTGTGTGTACTATCACCATGTCACCTCAATTGTTTATATACCGGTGGTTTGTGCAATGGGCCAAAGTGTTTGGGGATGTAAATGTGTGATAGACACATTTCTGGTGCACACGGACAACCACGTGTGACTGCTTCAATTCGATGATCAACCAAATTCCATGAAGAGCTTTGTGCACTTCCTGCCAAAAACACTCTTCGCGCTGCGCACGCATGCAAATAAGCCCGCACAGCAGTATACGAGCCCTTACGCCTGCGCAGGTAGTAAGCAGTCTCGTCACCTTTCAGCAGGGCCAGCTGCCAAAGCATTGGCCAAAGCTACGAGCAAGGGAGTGCCCTGGCCCAAACATCAGTTCAAGCAACACAAAAAATTGCCCAATTGGTCGACAACCTCATATATAGGTCTTTAATATATATATATATATATAGGCCGTCATTATGGAACAAAGTCCTTGCTGGGTCCATGCCCAGGTCTCTGAACGACTCGTGTGTGAAATCGCTTCTGGATTTTGGCAAGAATGTGAAGAAGTTGGTGAAATGTCTTTGAAGAGTTCGATGTTCCTTCAACGCTTGGACAGGGCCTCCAGAACCAAGCATGAGTTCAGGAGCCGGTCGGCTTTTGTTGCTTCGGGGCTCTCGGCAAATGTTCCTGTCACCATGTTGGACATTTCAATGAAGAAGAGCCTACCTTCAATCAAGGCAACTGACATGTTTCGAGCAATGGCTTTGCACGACAAGATCAGTTCGTGCTTGCTGGGTGGCGGTGGCTTGGAAACCCTTTCCACTTTTTGGAGCCGATACCGAGTCCACTTTCCAGACCACCCTCTGTTTCGAGACCACGGTCACCACCTTCAGTTTTGCCTGCCGCTTCTAATGCATGCTGACGAAGGTCGTTACTTGAAGCGTGAGCAATTGCTGATTATGTCATGGCAAAGTATGATCGGAGAAGGCACGCGGCCTCAAAGAGACTATCGAAGTGAAGCGGATTGCCGTGAGACGCAGGGCCTCAACTTCAAGGGATCTTCTTACAGAACCCGGTTTCTGTTGGCCACATTGTTGTCTTTGCACTACAGGAAAAAGAACCGAGACGGAGACCGCCTGAAAAATTTGCTGAACGCTGTCGTTGATGACTTTTTGGAGTTCTATCGAGCCGGAGTGGAGGTTGTCTTCCAGGGCACGAGAATCAAATTCTATGGCATTCTGCTAAACCTGAAGGGCGACTGGCCGATGTTAAGCAAATTGGGGAATTTGAAGCAACACTTTGGCCGGAAGACCAAAGGTGGTGCTCCTACCGAGCAGTCGGCTATCTGCCACTTATGCAGGGCAGGATGTGCAGGATACCCGTATCATGAGTTTGAGATCAATGCCAAGTGGTACGAGACTTACTTGCAACGCAGGCCATGGAGTACACCAAGTCCTTTCATGCGCTTGCCGATGCCTGCTGCTCCAGAACTGTTCTTTTGCTTTGACATGTTCCATGTCATGCACAAAGGTGTTTTGGCAGAGCTGACGGCGAGCGCGCTGGAATCTTGAGTTTGCTATAGAAAGAACTGTTTATTATAATTGTTTTTTGTATTTGACATCCAGTCATGTGAGTGGCTGTCAACACATTCACCTGAGGTTGCCCTACTCGATATGGGCCTCTTTGTGCCGGGAGATATTCCAACCCGCTTGGACAAGATCTATGATGACCTGAAGTCCTTTTGCCGCACAAGTGGCGTCAGCCTGCACTTGACCCGCCTTACAAGACAGCTGGTGGGCTTAAAAGATGACTCATGCTATCCTTCTGGGAGTCTTGGTTCATTTTAGAACGTTTTAGAAATTCATAATTTTGAGATGATGGGCTCAACCTGACTCTACTTTATGGGCTGATGATTTTTTCTTCAAAATATGTTATTGGTTGAGCGGAGTTTGATTTTCACCCTTAAGCCCATTTTTGCTCAAGTTGATTCAGCTGAGGACATGGTTCAAGGGAGCCGACACTGCTGCAATTTGCAAGTTTGTCGAGCATACGTTTGGACAGCTTACTGCTCCCGCAGGGTTTGAGCTCTATTGTGAGTGTATCCATTTGGCGGCAGAAGCAAGCAACACGGTTTTAAGTTGCATGTACACTAGCGGGCTTTGGCTTCGACCGATGGAGGCCTCAGCAATTGCAAGGCACAGTTTGTGTTTTGCAAGGCGTTTCAGAGAGTGTTCAGAGTTGGCATTCCAAATGGAGAAGTGCCGCTTCAGAATCACACCAAAGTACCATGCGTATGTTCATTTGACGCATGCTGTAATTCAGCAATTGGGTAATCTTGTGGATGAGGTGCTGGAAAATGACACTCCAGCAATTCTCAACCCCCTGAGCTACTCATGCCAATTAGATGAAGACTATATTGGGTCCATAGCGATGCTGTCACGGACAACGACCACAGGGCATGTCCACGAAGGCACCATGAACCGTTATCTTGTCACTCTTCAGCGTGAGTGGTAAAAAATGTCATGCTGCCTTGCTTTACCTTCGCTGGTTGCAATCCCAAAAGGGCAACTTTTGACAGTGCCCCAGTTTCCTCGCAACTTTGGGTGGTGTCCCATTTTTTTGAGCAACTCGGTGTTCAAGGCACTGACTTCATATGACCCTTCAGCGCCATGACTCCCCGAACTCGGCCATTTGGTCCCAATTTGCCAACCACCCCAGACACTCCATGTATGCCATATACATTGACCCCTCTGGCACCACCCCTGGCCTGATCGGCATCTATGGCAGTCCCATTAGTTGTTGCCAACCACTTCCAAACACCTCAGTGCAACGACCTACCCGCTTGTCGACACTCCGCGCCGCACGTCCCCAGCTTGGAACGCCACGCCACGCCAGGTACCGCGCGGGCACCGACGACCATGCAGCCTTCCACCGCGACCACTTCGACGGCCGCAGCGGCGGCGCGCAGGTCACTTTGGGCGTCTTTGCCTCCTTCGGCGACCGGCGAAGCTTGACCTATAGAGGGGAGGGTGAGGTTTTTCTTGGGGAGTCCCGAAGGATTCCAGTATGGGTGATGAGGATGGTTTCGATCACTAGAGGGGAGTGTGTTGACCAGGTAGCACTGCGAGTTTTGATTGAAGAGCAACAAAAACGCTGGGGTTTGCTGTCCTTTTGTTTGCTGTCCGTTGAGTTTCAGCACAAGGTCTTTGGGATTTCAACATGTTCATTTTTGTTTGGTTGACACTCAGACATGCATAGTATGACCTCTAGCAACGGTTGATGCAATGCTGCAAGGTCCATATCAGCATGCTAAGTCATCGCAATATCCGATAGAGTCACGAGCAAGCCTTTGAGATGGACGGATTGATCACAATGATCACAATGAAAAGCAATAAACATGGAGCCCTTACGCCGAAGTGGCATGGACAACCTGACCCCGAAACCATTAGCACTAGACATAATAACAAGAACATGAACAGAAGGAAAGCGACAAGAAGAACAACAATGAAATTATAACAAAATATAAGAACCACAACAAGCAAACAACAGAAAGAGAAGGAACTTTATAGTGATGTTATATGATGTTACCATGTATATAACCATAATTTGTTGTTCTCCATTGTGGCTTCCGCCGCACGTTTGCCCCACCTACCCACCCTAGGAGACCTTTGCTGGTCCTTCGGTGGCCGCGCGACCGCGTGGCGTCTGCCGCTGCGGAATGGCGACGTGGTGGCCTTCGATCGAACGGCCAACGCGGCGGGGCTGCACAGCATCGAGAAGAAGCTCGATGCCGCGGAGGATCGCGACGTGGCTGGAAGGGTCTATGGTGGGGTATGTTGGGGTGGTGAGTGGTGAGTGGCTTCCTACAAATGTCATCCTGGCCATCCTGGAATCCTGGCAAGATGAAATGCCTGTAGGAAGGCACATGTTAGCATCCAGGTGCCCCCAAAAAAGTTAGTAGGGAACCCTTAAAGAGCATTGCACGGGTGTTCTTTTCGTGGTGGCGAGTTTTTTCAGCGCCTACACTCGGGTGGCGAGGTTTGTGCTGAAAGAGCTGGTGGTGATGACGCAGCCGGTCCCGGTGTTTGATGAATATCCAGGCCTTATAGGGATCCAGTCCTACCGTACCTCAGGTACGGTGAGCAGTGTTCGGCACGTACGTATACTCTTATACGTGGGGGACTTGGAGGGTGTTTGAGGTTCGGTACGATCCCGGAGGTGGGGAAACCCCCAGTCTCAAGACGTCCCAACGTAAACATGTTCCGGTGGTTCAACCCGCACCGCACGATGCCTATGCCTATGCCGCTGGTCTGTCTCTTCCATTCCACCCGCACTCCACGCGGACGGAGTAGTTGTCTCGGAGACTCAGAGATGATGAAGCAAAGCTTTTTCACCAACAGTGGATGATCTGAGCCCAATGGATCGATTTTTGTAGACTCAGATCATCCTGCAGAGATTTTTGGGGGTAAGAGCCTCCGATCTATGAAGACTATGTTTCTTAGAACTTTGAAGCTATCCGAGGTCTGAGACTCGCCATATAAAGACCAATGTCCCAACAAATAACTGAGAGACCATGAACACTCTGAAAACGCCTGAGGCATTTCCGTGAGCCTCTGGGGCACCGGCCGCATCCCGGGACACGCGCCGTGTCCGCCGTTCGCGCCGCCCGCGCGGCGGTGGAGGGCCAAAGAAGCGCCTCCGCCGCGGCGCTGGACGCGGCGGGAGACGGTGGAGGAGAAAAGAAACATGGGCGGCGGAGGTGGAGGTGGACGATGGGAATGAGGCGGATGGAATGTATACACTCCCGCAAAACAAACATGAACCCGGGGTCGAATGGCAGCCTGGGTCGTCCCACTGTTTTCCTCTATTTAAAGTAATTTGTGGTATTCAGGGTCCATGTTAGTTTTCAGCGGATTATATGTTTGTGTTTTTTCCCCTGGGGTGCTGGGTTCGGTGAGGTCTGGGAGTCTGTGCATGTTTTCTTCAGACCCTGTGTTTACCATGATGCAATGAATTTCGGGACTGGTCGGGCGAACATGGTGGGTCACGACCCATTCCCAGGTATAGACTTGAGGTAGAAAAAAAGAGAGAAAACAGCCGGTATAGCGGTATGGTAAATGGAAATGATCAATGAACATGGGACATATGGCTTAGCTTACAACGTTCCCGGCTTGATACAAGGCCTGATGCTATATCATATTCTGCGATTTAAAGTGCCATGCTACTACGATCGCACTCTTCAACTCTTTGTCTCAGCCACCATGACGACCTCAAGATGAAGATCCAGCTTGGGAGCTCTTGTTTATTGACATAAGAGCCTCCGCCACGAACACCGCAGGCCACCGCGGCGTTTCGCCACGCGTCTCGCATATCTCGACGTCGCCACTAAGGTCCTCACCACCAAGCGCGACATCCACACCCTGGGCGACAGCACCCCGCCCAGCGTCGTCTCGGCCGCTTGACTGACGCTTGTGGGTGGGTGTTTGGGGCAGAGCGGAGAGCGGAGGATGCATGCTTTGGTTGGGGTTGGAGAGGAGTGTTCTTTTTTTGGGTAACGGAAGACATATGATTGGAAACGATAAATAAGAAGTGGCGTCGCTTTGAATGGAGGTCCTTGCTTTGGTTTGTCCATTGTGGCATTAAGTGTGTTTTGTAAAGGAGTGAGACTGAGACCCACATGCTTTCACTAGCCTTTTATCCGTGACACACCCAAGATGCTGTCTCGAATCAAATCGCTTTGAATCACTGAGGTCTCGCCTGTGCATTTGCAGAGCGGCGTGGTGAGCAAGCCCACCTTTCAGCCACTTGGATGATGGAGACGCATTTCTTGGATGGATGGATGGATGGATGGGTGGGTGGGTGGGTGGGTGGGTGCGTGGGTGGGTGGCTGGGTGGGTGGGTGGGTGGATGGGTGTGTGAGAGCGTGAGTGGATGGGTGGGTTGGTGGGTGGATGGGTGGGCAGATGTTTCCTCACTATAGTGTCGAGTGAGCTGAGTGCCCACTTTGTTGATTTTCAGAGTTTCGACGCGATCGCTGGTATCGATCTGGGTGTCCCTGGTTCGTTTTTTCTTGGGTGCATGAAGGGACTACTAGTCGCACTAGTGTAGAATCAGTTGTTGTCAGATCCTTAACCCTTTTGGGGCATGCGAGTTCACAAGGAGTTCATAAGCAGCAGGTACTTCACTGATAGATCGATTCTCCGTGAAGTCACAGAGCATCAATATACTTTGTTTTGGTATCTGTACATGTTTTTATTAAAAGAGAAGCAAACACAGAAACAACCACAGCAGGCACTTCACTATATAACTTGTTTGGCTCCGTGCTAATGACCGTGCCTTGTCTGGGATTGTTTTCACTATAGCTTCGAGGGTACGTTGACAGGCTGCGTCCCTTTACATATGCGAGAGATGCGACCGTGCCGAGGATCGTCTTTGACGAGGATATCCAGGCGTTGAAAGAAAAACCTCCTGGGGAGGAGGGCGAACTGAGAGGGACACTGACTGATGGATGTTGGGAGATCCACTAAAACCAAGGTTCCCTCACAGTTCGCTAGAAGTCCAGTTCGACTATATTCACTTTGACCTACTGAAGTAGATACTCCTTTTCAGGTATATCAAGAAAGATATAATCCTCCAGTCCCATCCCGATCACCATCGGAATCTAGAAGATGCATCCCTATCTGAAGTGATGGCTCAGCTCAGTCCAAGGAGCAGGAATTGGACCATCGCTTGAACCGCGGCAGTCGTGTGTGGAACCTCTTGAAACGAAGCTTCGACCAATTCGTAGCGTCCGGAAAATACGGAAAGAACGGGTTTGAAACAACCAGGTCACAAGGGAGTTACGAGGCCCAACAACACACAGGTTGTGCAGGGAGGAAGTTCCAACCGAGCCCACGTACTTGATTCATATCATCTTCATTTAGGGTGTGATATATAATCAATTGAGTCTAAGTACTTGCATGTGCTCGTTCTCTAAGCATTGGTGTGTCACTGTCGACCCTGGCACTGACGTGCAGGCAGGCACGGGGAATGTGGTGTTTACTCCTCAGCATCTCGGCGTTGAAGGAGGATGTTTGTCAGTCCAGGCCCATGAATGGGTTGTTTCGACAACAAGTGTCTGGGGACCGAACCCATACAGAAACGTCCAGTGCAGTTTATATCAGTTTATCATTTTTTCTTGCATGCTGGGGTTCGCACTGGGCTGGCTGCCAATGTTGTTTCCACGTGATCAAGTTTTGCGGATGCCTTCAAATGATGTCAACAGTTACGTTTCAGATTCAAGCCGTGCTTGAACTATTGGGTATATATTTTGGAGCAATAGGAGGACTTTGAGGACACAATTGCAAGGCTTCCAAAGAGTATTCGAAAGATTGCGGTCATCCAAAAAAGAACCATCGGAAGTGGGCGCAGTGTACTCTAATGGCGAAACACGGGTTTTGATAGCGAAACACCGGCCTTATAATAGCTACAAGAGTGGATCTTGTCAACCAAAACCACCCTCAACTTGGGTGGCGCTGGTGATGTCTTCTTGTGCTTCCTCCAATCTCTGCACCCCAAAAGCCGTCGCAAGTCCATCAAGGACTGGCTCGCCCATCTCGATGGACATCACCAACGTCTGGGGGGCCCTAGAGTCAGTCGGACGGGTTGTTGGAGTATGCCAGTGACATCCTGTGACCGCTGGAGGTCCAGACCCTCCGCAGACACGAGGTTTCCCCCTTTCCATCAACATACTATATATAATCTGTAGCATAGATAGCATACTATAGCAATACTGTTGAAATTCACCTCATCCCCATGGACCCCGTAGCGTTGACTCTCA